ATCTAAAAATCTAATCCGCGTAAGTGGCATACAGAAATCCGAGACATGGCGAACATGAGCAAATCAACAGTAACTATCGAAGTTCCTGGAATCGATCCAAGTGACACATCATCAATAGCTGAAAAGATAAACGATTCTTACTCTGCTGTTACGCGACTTCTTCCTCCTCTCGACTACAATAGTCTTCCAAGTCTCATTCGGGCACTCCCACCACCAACAGCACAGGAGTGGCAAGTCTACCGTCATTTACTGAAGATAGACATTAATAAATCTGGAGGACCTGACAACCTTCCGCCACGTCTAATTAGAGAATTCGCTGCTGAGTTAGCGACACCACTGGCTGATGTAATCAACGCATCTCTTCTGCTGGGCTGTGTACCTCAAGCTTGGAAACCGGCGATCGTATGCCCTGTACCAAAAGTGTACCCTCCTTCCATTGATGAGCTAAGGCCAATCTCTCTAACTTGCACTTTTGCTGAAATAGCAGAGAACTTTGTCTACACGTGGATCATGGACGACATCCAGCATAAAATTGATTTACGCCAGTTTGGCTCCATACCCAAGTCTTCAACAGTTCATTACCTCATCAGCATATTGGACTATCTGTACAGAGGAGCAGAAAAACGCAACAATATAAGCTCTCTAGTCGTGACTGACTTCAGCAAAGCATTTGACCTGATATGTCACACAACACTGCTAAAAAAACTCCATAAATTAGGATTCAGACCGTCACTACTACCGTGGATAAGTGATTTCCTCTCTATAAGGTGACAATGCGTCCGGTACAAAGGGTCTACCTCCACGTACCAGATATTAACATGTGGTGTTCCCCAGGGCACAAAGCTTGAGCCGCTACTGTTTTTGGTCATGATCAACGATGCTGCGGAAGAACTATCAGTTCAGAAATGGAAATACGTCGACGACATGACACTACTGGAGACAAGGTCGATCCACTCTCCGTCATATCTAAACAACGTACTCGCATCTATCCAGTGCTAAACCTTTTCAAATAAAATGAAACTTAACCCTGCAAAATGTACAGTTATGCAGGTGTACTTTGGTAGAAGTAGACTTCAAGATGCTGAATTTTTTTTAGAACACTTTCAATTGGAAAATTCGACAACTTTGAAGATCCTGGGTGTATGGTTCTAGCACAACCTTAAATGGGCCATACACGTTCAGGATTTGGTGGCTAGAGCCAGTAAAAGAATGTTTATGCTTCGTATACTAAAAAAATCTAGGCTTAGCTGTGAAGATCTCGTGCAAATTTACTGTGGTTACGTCAGACCGATTCTGGAATATGCTGCACTCGTCTGGCACCCGAGCCTTACCAAAGAGCTCGATCTCACGTCTAATTGAATCTGTTCAAGTAAGGGCAGTAAAAATAATAATAGGTTATAATAATTGGAATAGGTACGACATGTACGATGATGTACTATCTCAGCTTCAGATCCAAAGACTTGCGTTTCGTCGCGAGCAGCTTTGTGAAAAAGTGGCTTATCAGCTCAAAAGTTGTAAACGATTACAGGATATTTGCCCTCCTTCAGCAATAAATGTGTCTAACCGCATAACACGGAATTCTAGTAAACTCCGGCTTGCAAAAGTTCCTCGTACCAGCCGGTACTTTAATTGCTCAGGTTTATACTGCCTGATGATATCTTGTTTGCAAAATTTATTTTAATTGTAACGTTGTTAACACTGGTTTTGCAATAAATCTATTATCTATCTATCTATCTATCTAAGCTGAGTATTGCATAATTTACCAGATACAAATACATCGGCCGCAATAAAGAGCGGAAAATCATTCTCTTTCCAAACACATGCAGTAGTTGAATCCTACCTTTGTAGATGCATCAATTCGCTGCACACTATCAAGCTATGTTACGTGGGTCAGACCTAAACCGGGAGATATTAGCTATTTTTAAGTTATACCCGGATTAAACGCTGCTATACACGTCACAAGAGCCTGTGTTCTCTATTTTGGACGTTTAATTTCGGAAAAGCATTTTTGCTTTATGTCGTAATGTCATGCTTCGTTAGGAGGTTAGTGACATATTGCAAAGTTGTAATTATTCAAGCGATAAATAAATAATGTTATTCGTAACACAAACTCCTTCGAGAGAATGCGCTTTCATTTAAATGAATAATTTAAACAACATAGCAAAAATTTCGCTTTCGGCCAAACACTGTTTTTCGTGCGCGACACTGGCGCCGACCAACGACAACTAAAGTTGCAAACAATTTTTATCCGAATCGCAGGGATTAGATATTTCGCGAATCCAGTGTGCGTATTATAATGAAATAATATAAATGATGAATTGGGATGAAAATCTTTACAGAAAACGCTACGAGAGTCTGCGTTCTCAATTTTGAACGTGTGATCTCGAGTAATTATTATTGTCATTAGCAGATATTAAGCATGCACACACACACACACACACACACACACACACACACACACACACACACAATAACACACACACACCACACCCAGCACACACACTACACCCACCACACGCAACACACACCACAATACACGCGAAGGCACAGGGCGACAAACAAAATCCACAACACAACACACAACACACACAAACACAACACACACACACACACCACAACACACTACCACAACCCATCACATACACACACACAACACACACCAACCAACACCACACAACACACAACACCACACCAGAAAACCACAGGCCTGTGGAATAGATTCGTGTTTTTAATTTTGTTTTTTTTTTTTTTTTTTTTTTGCGTGAACTTTTTTATCACCACCCCGTTCGTCAGTCCGGCGGTCTCGCAGTCACACCGACTATAGCCGCGTTCACAAGTAGCAAGAATCCGGTATTTAGCTTCACAGAGGAATACGAGGCCAGAAATAACGGTATCTAAACGCGGTATTTATGTAATATACGGGTCCCAGACCCGAATATTTGCCGTGCTTGAGAATACGCCGATTTCTTGGACCGCGCAGTTCTCGTAGTGAACGATCAATACGGATTTCTGAAAGCCGACGTATTTTATTGACTGGTGCGCGATCGACAGTTCGTGTGACCAAGTGGCAAACTTGTCGGAGCGCGGCCAGTTCTAGTTTTTATCGGCATGTTTGGTGCGCATTACATTGTTGATTTTGCATTGTTTCTTGTTGTTTACAGCTCGCAGCTCGCAATACCGTATTTCTGAGACTGCGAATCGGTGTGAACGCTCGGTGCCGCGTATTTGTCTCAGATTCGGTATTCGCATACCGTATTATAAATACGATGGTTCTCGTGTGACGAGCTTTATGGAAGAGGCGCGCAATGCCGAGGGCAAGTCCAATATTATTATGTGTCCTCGCAATGATGTTAATTGGGAAACGGCATTACATCATTCGAAGAGTGGGTTACATATAATAGGATCGTGGGGAGTTCGGAATTATCATGAATCTGCGAAATTATTATTGGATAATCAACGATGTTAAAATGTTGGGAATATCCCGAACAAGGCATGTAGCCCGTTCTAGACATTTTTCTTTACAGGATTGTTTATATAAATTAGCATTCGATTTATTTTTGTGTTATTTCCGTCGGTTATCTTGCCTCTCTACATGCTCTTCCTCTTGGTCTTTCCCTTGGCGGACTTAGTCTATGTAACACACGGTGTTTCACAACAACTAAAGTGGTCTGATGCACACAAACATTCCTCCTTAACGCACATTACGCCAGCAATAGCATTATTCAGTTACAGTAATTATTGGAAGAACAACGAACCTCATCGTTAAGCTGAGAAACGTGGGACAATGAGCGACACTGGCAGGCAGTATTGAAATTCATTTTTTGAATTTTAATAGCAGTGCAAGACCATTTGGCATGTGGTTTGAACTTGCACATTCTAGTCGTAGTGTTGTTTGTTATTACTAAGTCGCACATGTCATTCCCATTTGTCCTAGAAGTTAGTGTTCTTTGAAATGTTATTTTCATCTTAATAATGTTCTCGATTTCCTCCATATCTATTAATGTGTTTGTCAATCCTTATGCATTAGCTCGCTCATCAGGTAGCTAAACTGTCTGCAGTATTCAGAACAGACTTCGTGGTGTTGCCCTGGTTGCATGTCTATCTGTACCGATACTGAATTAATGATTTGTCCTGCCGGAGATTTGATTACTTGTATATATATCAGGACTTTTATAAGGATATGATAGACTTGTTATATATATATATATATATATATATCGGGAGATGCAAGAGACACTCCGTCAGATATTTCTGTCAATAATGAATGTAACCCGTTCTGAGCTCATTCTATGCTTATGGTATTACGATTGTATTGATGATCGTTCTCACATCTACCAGATGTTGTAATGTTGTCCAAAATGACTGAAAGCACTTAAATGATCGAGACTACCTTAGAGCACCAAAATGCCGGCTGTGTACCTTTATTTTTTTATTACGAACGAGATCATAATTCCAGTCATAAAACATCAACATCAACAGCAGACTTAACATCAGCCTTCGTACAAGATATATATTTTCCTCGGGAATATTTCCATTGAATGTGTATGAATTTCTCGCATGTCGAATAGTGTTGTACAGTAGGTATATATCCACCAATCAAAATTACATGGCATATATGTATGTCTCGGACAGTGTGCATGTCCCCATTCCACAATAATTCGGTTTTGTCAAGGATAGTCACGTAAAGACGATAACAGATAAGCCTGACATTCGTACGTGGAGTTACGTTATGTCAACGAACCAATCAGATTTTTGTTAATGTTTAGATTAATATGTTTAGATAATATGTTAGATATTGTCAATATTCAATGCGCAAAGATGCCATGCAACATGCGCTGGTAAATTCTTACCTATGTAAAATAGCCTCACCCCATCCTAGAATTACATCCCAACAACCTTGGACAGAATAAAGCCAATGATGCTACCGATGATGCTGCCGATCGTCATAACATGTTTCGCGAGACAAGGCGACGATGGCGACGATCCTGACGACGATGACGCTACTGAACGAGGTCTTCGGTGCCGTAGTAGATCTTCCTCATCATCTGTCCAAAGCTGGTGTTCAGCTGCTTGATGTTCTCGGGGTCGTGCTCTTTGATCGGGTCCTCCTTGATAATATAATGGCGGTGGTGGTAGAACAGGTGTATCGCGTAGTACTCATGCCAATCTCGTCGGCGATTCACATTCTGTCGGTACAGCTGGTTCATGACCCCAACGTTGACCCCGAACTCCTCTAGCCCGACGACGCGAGCGACACTCGGCGTGCGGCGCAGTAACTCGGCGGGCACCTGGCCGGCGTTGTAGTACCACAGGCTATCGTTGAAGGCGCGATAGCTGTTGTAGTACATGCGCAGGAACGTCGCATTTGGCGCCGCTATCTGAATCTGGTTACCAATGTTATGCTCAACGGTGTTCATGCCGACCGTGTATGTGTCATTGTAGCGAAAGACGTCGAATGGTTTAACGACATATACGTCGTTGTCGAGGTAGATGCCGCCGCGCTCGAGCAAGACCTCGATGCGCGCGATGTCGGACGCGTGCTGAACGACGTTCACCTTGATACCAAAGATCTCGCGAGGCCGCGCCCGCCCGACGACGCTAAGGTGTGGTAGCGAGCGCAACTGCTCCCACCAGGGTCCACTCGGGGGCGTGTCACAATGCACGTACATCATGCGTGGCTTGATATTGCGGTAGGCCGACAGCATGCAAACCATTTCGGTGAAGGTGACGTTCGGCTGGCCAAAGCGAATAAAGTGAACAATGTTGGGCACCAGTTCGCTCCCCGGTAGGACGCCGCTGTCACCGTCACGTGACGACATCAACGCCACGTTTGAACTAGGTTGGGGCGGCGTTGCCGGCGTAAGTCCTTGATCTGAACTCACTTGTTCTAGACGGGCTCGCCAAGCGCGCAAAGAAGCTGTCTGATGCTGCTGTAGCATACCGCTGCTATGAACTGTCATCACAGGACGCCGGATACGGTCACTGTTCGACCAGATGAAGGACGTCAGCAGGACGGTTAGCAGAGCCATGCAGATGCCCACGCATACCAGCCCTGTAACGAAAGATTTCATTGGACACACGAGTCATGCATCCAAATGAAGCATTGAAATATATCGGTCTATCGATCTATCCATCGATTCATCCATTTATCCATTCATCCATTCATCGAACCATCCATCCATCCATCCACATATATATCTATCCATTTCTCAAACCACCATCATCGTGATCACATATCTCACCCTTCCATGCAACGATCTATCCTCCAATTATCCATTATTTCCATCCCATCCGAATCTATGGCATGCATATAGATATACACACATAACTAAATACATACGTAAGTACGTGCGCACACACCCAAGCACGCACGCACAAATACACATACACGCACGCACACACCCGCACACACACAGACACACACGCACGCACACAGCGCCACACAGAGACACACACGAACACACCACATAT